AAAAATCAAGGATGTATGTTTATACTTGCAGCTAAACAGAATAATTCATTTTAACGATTAATTTGAAATTCTTCACTTTACGTTATAGCTTTGTGAACCGATACTTTGTGAACACATGTTATGTTCATCATTTCATTCTTTGACATTTCATTTTCGAGAGAATATATTTCTACATGCATGCCGTATTTCCCAGAAGCACTTGCAGTATAACTAAGAAAAATAAGAAATCTAACCATATTTTATGAGGATGGATTTGTTCATTTCAACTCCAGAGTTGTACACACTCGAGTGACGAGATAATGAATAATACTTCATTTCTCCAGTATCTTTGGGGACTTAACTCCACTTATGTAAGTTTTCAAGAAAACTAGTTTATTCCTTCTATTGCTGACTTTTTTTTTTCTGGTTTTAAATATCTGAGATAGAAACCATTCTAGAATATATGGTGTAAAATCACCTGTCTTATTAAACAGATTTCTGAGCACAGGTAAACTTTTGTTGGGAATTTAAGATCTCCTCTCTAAAAGTGAAGTGTTCTGCGTTGTAATTTGGCATCGTGCTTCTGGATTCTTGGAGGTTTGTCAGGTTTAGTGGGTTTTTTTTTTTTTTTTTTTTTTTTCACTCATTCACTCTACCAATGTTTTTAGAGCCTGTGCCATGTGCCAGACACGGCTCAGATGACTGGAAAGCAAGCATTAAGGAAACTGTCGAGAACTTTATTCCCATGGTGCTTCCAGTCTATTGGTAAAGAAAGGCAACGAAACAATGAACTGAGAAAGGGGGTGCTGGGTGCTGTGAAGAACAGTAAAGCAGGATGAGGGTGCAGAGAGGGCAGCGGCAGAACCAGGGCCCTTTGCGCCAGGTGCACCTACAAAGTGGTGTGTTGCGGCGGAAGGTGGCAGTGAGCAGACACTGGAGAAGACAGGGAGCCTAGGGGGATTAGGAATAGGAATTGTGAAGGCCACAGCAGGAGCAGGCTTGCCACTGGAGGAGGAGGAAGGGGGCTCTGAGGAATGGACAGTCATGGATCAGGAGCGAGCTGAGACTGGGGCGGTGGCCACTGTAGGTCACTGGAGGGCTTTGAACTTCCTTCCAAGTGATGGAGAGCAGTTTCCACTTTCATTTCCACTGACATTTTCAGAAGCGTTTCTCCAGCTGCTGTGTGCAGGCTCTTACGGCAGTGACTTCTGAGGGCTTGGCCTGTGGCTATGGAGCTGAGGGGAGGCGAGGGGAGGAGAGCTGGTGGGATTTGGGACCTTCCTGTCTGAGAAGACATTGCCCTTTTTGCAATCTCCCAGAGATGGAAGGTGGAGATCTAAGAGTTGAGTCCTGGGCACTTGAGCATTAGGAACATTTAGACATTAGGAAAATGTGAAAATCCATCAAAGGAATCAGAGAGCAAGCAGCTAGAGATGGAAGAGGGAAAAATAAAATTAATGGCATTATGAAAGCCAAGTGAGGAAAGTGTTACGAATAGAATTAAGGGCTCACTGAGCTCCAATGCAGTTGATTCAATGAGTATGATGGGAACGGGTTCATTTTTCCTATGACAAGACTTCTTAAGTTGGTAATTATTCTGTGTTTCTCACTTACTGTGAGCTCTCTCTCTCTAGGTTCTCTTTCTGTCTTTATTATTTTTTTAATTGTGGTAAGAACACGAGATCTAACCACTTAAGAAATAGATTTTTATGTGTACAATGTGAAATTATTACTAACTGTACACACAACATTGCACATCAGCTCTCTAAAACTTATTCATCTTGAATAACAAAATTTATACGTGTTGATTAGCAGTTTCCCACATCGTGGTCTTTTAGCTTTGGTAGTATTCTTCCTCATCTTTCCTCTTCTAATCCCAATATTTCTAATCCTCTAACCATGTAATTTATAAATACATGAAGATTTCCAGGAGATGCCAGATGCCAAATCATGTTATTTATCCTCAATCTTATGCATGATTTTTCGATAGTAAGTCTGAGTTAAGATCTTTCAGAAGGGCCGGCCCGGTGGCGCACTGCTACAGTGCGCCGCTTGGGAGCACGGCGGTGCTCCCGCCG